TGGGGAATCTTTCCTTTAAAAAATGCCTTCAAATGTATCCAGCCGACCTCGTGAGCCGTTCCCCTGGGTGCAGAGTGTTCTACCTCACCGTGCTCACGAGAGAAATAATTCTCTTCCCCAACTCTTCCTTACTATCTAAAAAGCCAAGTCAACGTTTTCCTCGTTATTTGCTGTTTGCTGCATACCTCTCCCCCACTGTGACTGCTATTTGACCTGCTGTCCGCTCAGAGACCCGGAGGGGATGAGAGAGGGAAGTGTGTGTTTGTGTGCAAGGGGGAGAGCCGGACCAGGGAGTCTTAGCTAAATTCTGGCTCATCCGGATGAATTAGAAAGAAATCAACAACACTTAGCGTGTAAGACAACCTCATAGATGGTGAGCATCTTTTATGCAGCTCAGCAAAACAGCACTTTCATCTAAGGAACAGCATGGGGATTAGAGGGGAGGTTGTTTCACTCTGTGCACTGTTTTTTACCTCCTCCTTGCCTTAGGATGTTGTTAATGAATGGACTAGCAACATAAAGGTTTGATTTAAGAGGGACACTGTGGGGTGCCATCTCTCGCCAATCCTGTTTGCTCTTGCATCCACAAGCCTGGTGTGCCTGCCTGTGGTTAATGAGAAAATAGAAGGGCTCAGAGTGCTCAAAGGGAGGTAGCTATAATCATCCCTTCCCCTCCCAAGTGGCTCTTGATTTTTATGGTACCTTTCGTATTCCTGGCAGATCCTGGAAGGGCTCTCCCCTCACTGTAGTTATGTTTTCAACACGCTAGCTTTCTTCTAAAAAAACAGACAAAAGATAAAACTGAAAGCATCTATTAGGGTGGGCGTCAAAATCACAGAGATCAAAGTTTATTTTCATTTTCTCCAGAGAGTCTCAGACATCTAGGAATTCAAAACAAAACTCCACTGTAAGAAATGGACAGGTTGACCACAAGGCAGCAGTGTGTCCTTGTGGCCAAGAAGGCCGATGGGATCCTGGGGTGTGTAAGGAAGAGCATTTCGAGCAGGTCCAGGGAGGGGATCCTGCCCTGCTGAGGCCCACTCAGCCCTGGTGAGGCCACATCTGGAGCACCGTGTCCAGTTCGGGGCTCCTCAGTACAAGAGGGATGTGGAACTTTTGGAGAGAGGGCTACAAGCACAGGGCTACAAGATGATGAGAGGTTGGAGCATCTGCCCTATGAGGAGAGGCTGAGGGAGCTGGGCCTGTTCAGCCTGGAGAAGAGAAGCCTGAGAGATGATCTAATCAGTGTCTATAAATACCTCAAGGGAGGCAGTGAGGAGGATGGTGCTGGCCTCATTTCAGTGGCCAGTGACAGAACTAGAGGAAACAGCCACAAACTGAAGTACCAAAAGTTCCACAGGAACTTAAGGAAACATTTCTTAACAGTGAGGGTGCCAGAGCACTGGAACAGGCTGCCCAGAGAGGGTGTGGAGTCTCCTTCTCTGGAGATCTTCAAACCCGCTTGGACGCAGTCCTGTGCCACGTGCTCTAGGTGACCCTGCGTGTGCAGGGGGTTGGACTAGATGATCCCTAGAGGTCCCTTCTAACCTCAACCATTCTGTGATTCTATAAAATCTTTGCAAAGCTGGCACAGTCCTGAAGCTTCTATGTTCTGCACTCAGAAGGAAAGCACTGACCTAGATAGGAGAATCTGAACATCCAGGCAGATGGGCTTGCATCACTGGCACCCTTTGCAGCATTTGCTTCGTGAACTGTCCAAAAAGAGGCATCTACTGATTTGCAGCAAGGATCAGACTTTCAGATTTTTACATGCTCATCACTGCATCTAAGTAGCTTGTCCCCATTCTCTATGTCAGAACCAAAGAAGTATCTCAAATGCAGCTCACAGCTTTTCTTCTGGAACGCAGATCTCTTCTAAGAAATGATATTCTATTATTTTAGAATATAGATTTTTTTTCCTCTTCTCTGTTTCTGCGTAGCATCTTTTGGTTTATAAACAAAGTCCGGTTTTACTTTTTATGTCATGTTCCATGAATTTGCTTGTTATCTCACAAACATCAAGGTAGTTAGATTTACAGCTTTTGAGGTAGGGAAACACTACAAATATCTGTTTTGAATGTCAGGGTGCACTTTGAGATTAGGTGACTTGTCCAAGGCCACACAGGACATCTATAAAAAGGCTTGAAATTCAAGTCAGGCACTTTAACTTCACTCCTTTAAGAACATGACTTTCCTTGAGGCGCTTCCCTGGTGTTCTCCCATCAGACTTGCTACTCCCTGTATTGCAATTATATTAATTCCTCTTAGTAGCTTTCCAATAACATTTGCATTACATTGCTATACCTCATGCTGCATACTGCACAGGAATGCAGTATTGCTCCTACTAGGCTGTCAAAGAGAGTATATCATTACCAAAACAAATGTCTAGCTGCTTCTGGCATTTCACACCAAGCAGTATTTATCACTTTTGTCTGATCAGTGATTTGATGCCCTAAAAAATAACGGGTATATTCCCACTTGAATTCAATGTGCATTTAATCATGTCTTTGCTAACTTCACACTTTGTGAGCATTGCAGTGCTTCTATTTTTAGCGCATTATTCCACTTCTTTCACTGTGAGGATTGATACAATGGATTTTCTTCTGTATGAATTATGTCAGTGAATGTATATTTGCAAAAGCAGGCTCTAGATTTTGTTCATCCTCAATCCGAAGCCTACGTGTGTGTGCCAGTCAACAGAGTAATGCTTATATATATATAATCATATATATATATATATCATAAATGGACAAAAACATTCAGAAAGAAAATTAAAATTTATATATGAGTGGCAGAAGGAATCTGAATCTTCCATGATTCAAACTGCCTGCTCGTTTGACTGAGCATCCCTGTCCCACCTTCACGGGTGCAGTCAGCTCTCTGGGGCCTGGCCTAAGTGGCCTTTATTAAGGAAAACAGCAGTTTTGCTCCTTCCCTATGATGTGAGTTGGGAACAGCTTCATCAGTGAATGAAAAACACAACCAGTGACGGAAGCTTCCACTAAATGTCCATAATTTGTAGTTCTTCAAATTTTTTTTTTTTTTTTTTCTCCATTTAAAAAGCGGGAAAGAAAACAGTATCAGTTTGTAATTGCAGTTCCTTTGAAGAGATGAGTAAAGTCCGGGATATGATATTCTGCTCTCAGCTGAAACAGCCTATACATATTTTATAAACAAAAATTACATCTTAAAACTGTGAGTAGATTTAACAATGGACTCTAATGAATTAAACATCATATAAACATTTCATTTCACGCTTTCTGTTTTTCTTTCCAAAGGTCCATAGTCTAGTCATTCAGTCCTGTGCAAAGGTCATGTTACTATGGTTATGACCTGCAAGAAATGTGTTGCCTTAGAGCAGCACAAGTCACATGAACAGGCTAAAAGCCAAGACGGCTGATTCAGAGTCTTGACAGGATTCTCATGCTTGCCTTGGTTTCACTGAGGAACAGTCTTTGCACCACCAAGTCTATGTTCGTCCTTTAAAAGTGTTCATGCAGGTGTAGCTTCCAGAAAACTTATGGATTTCTTCAAGTGCTGCCTGAGGGAGAATGCTGTTGGAAAAGCAGAAGGAAAATAAGCCAAACAGACAAACCTTTCAATCTGTTCTAATAAGAGGACATGTAAGTTTGCACGTGTAAACATACATGCTGGCATGATCAGGGAGCTAGTGAAAGCAGAAAAAGCAGCTGTCAGTGTGTATCAGAGCCTGCTGGCTCATAAAATTTTCTCCCCTTTGCTCATATCTCTCTCCTTCATGGGAGGGGAGGAACCAGTCTGGTCCTGGGTATCAGGTAACAGCCAAACTGAAGTTCACCTTGGTGTAGAGGCAGCCGGACTGTAAGCCAGTCATGCCTAACTGTGTAGGCTATAGTTGGGAATGGAAATATTTACCTTTTTAGGATGACGAGCACACGCATGGTCCATGGAAGGAGGAGGAAGGCTTGGTTCGTCTGAACAGCGTCCACTGTCCTCCTAGCCACAGTCTCTGGCTTGAGAGGAGGAAAAAGATTAGGGAACCTGAATAAATAAAGTAAAAAATAAAATAATTACTCATTAACCAAGCTCCTTGTTTAAGATACCAGTCAAAGTCCTGGGGCCCCCTAAGTTATCACTGGTTAGTGGCATTGATACCCCAAAATAGACTAGAAGGAACAGAGAATGAAAGCCAGGTCTGTAATTCTATGTTCCAGTCCTGTACTACTGGATTGGCTAAAGAGTTAAGGAACAAACATGCTGCAGTCCTTAGGAGGCAGTGGCAGAGTGTATTCAGGACCTTGCTTCAGGGATTTGCTTAGGCAATTTGCAAGCTAACATCACAGCTCTGTCTTTTCAGTGCCAATGTTCTTCCTCTCGTCTGCTGTCTGCTTGATTCAAGCTCTCGACAGGTGATCTTCCCTCATTGCTTTTGATACCAAGAATAGGACTTCTCCTGGGTCCAACATGGCACAACATTGCATATTTTCCCTTGGCTAAAGGAGCACAAACTATATTAATGGGTCATTCTGTCCCTTGTAAATGATTAATTTCAGTCTGTGGCTGTCACTCCCTTCACTGGGAAAAAATTAAGAATTTGAATGAATAAAGAAGGAATTTGTACTGTTAATTCTCAAGTAATTCATAGGCTGCTCCCTTTTGAATTACCTCAATTTTCAGATTGCTTCCCCTCCCTCTCTAGTGGCTGCAAATGGCCCCAAAACACTCAGTGAAAAATAGCTTTCAGTTTTCTCTGTAGAAGCAAACGCTGCAGACACATTCTCACACAGCCCAGGCAGTTTGTATGAATGTGGCAGCAAACCCAAGGAACCAGTCTGATGAGTCCCGGGCGGCCTAGGGTGACCCTCTGTTCCCAGGCGGCCAAATGAGACATCGAATTCTCTTAACTAAATGAAGCATTAATTAGGAGTGTATTCTGATGATTCATTTAAAATGAGATGTTTTATGCTAGCTCCCCTGGACTGACCTGATTCTCATGCCCTGAAACATCTCTGTGCTTGTGTGGAAGGGCAGGACTGTTGTGGCATTCACTCCAGGACAGTCTAGCAAGCCCAAGGTCAGGCTCTCCATAAAGGCAAAGGAAGAGGCTTTGGAGGTGCAATAGTCAATGGCACCAGGGATGGCTGACAAGGCCAGGACAGAGTTCAAGCAAACAATGTGTCCATGCTGCAACTCCAGCATCCTTGGCAGGAATGGTTTGGTGGTCTGAAGAACAACAGAGAAGAAAAATAAAAATGTTTTGCTCAGCAGAGATACAACAAAAACAGTAGTGACTGAAAAATTAGGTGACAGAGACAACAAGCTGAACTGAGCTGTCCATTAAGCTAAGAAAGGAGAGAATGCTTTGTTGCCTTGTGATTCTTTGAAAGCTTCTAAACAAAGTTTGTGCAAAAAAGCAAAACCTTTCCTGGCATATATGTGAATGGTGGCCACAGATGAAGGCCATGAACAGAATGCTCTGTATGTTTAAGAAGTTCTTAAAGAGGATAAAGTCTCCAGTAAAGAGATTAGATCACAAAGAACTCATTTTCTTTGTTATTATAATTATTTCTATCTAATTAGAAATGGAATGAGTTCGTGCTAGCTTCCTTCCTTGAGCAATGCAGCCTCGTGCTCCTCTCCACACACATCACTAGGCAGAAAATTCTCCTCTGCGTGCTTGGTTTTTCTCAGAGGAAATCGGATGTTTTACTGGAAATCTCAGAATGGGGATGTAAGAACATCAAATACTGTGTAACTACTGGAAGCTTTTAATATGATATTTTAGAAGTAACTGAAATCCATTTGAGAGAGCCTGTCAAATTTAATTTTTGTTCATCTTCTTTCCTCTGGCCTTTGCCCCTCACACTGTTTTTCCTGTCTCTCTCTTGTGTCAGGCTGATTTTACTAAGCATCATTTAGAAAGGCCGAGCAGCAGCCAAATGTTCACTGGCTGTAATCTGTCACCCTCATTCCCAAATCTGAATACATGAGCTACAAGAGCTCAACTTACCCAGAACTGTCCCAGTGTGTTTATATGTTGTGATTTGAGCAGTGCATCGTCATCGCTGTCCATCAGGCTCTTACCATGGACCACGGCAGCATTGTTCACTAGGATAGTGATATCACCCACCTGCAAAAACACAAATGACTTGTCACAACTAGCACCTCTCCTCACAAACCAGGAGTCACTACTGGCCTTCCAGGAGTGCCTGAATACATTACTATTTTCACAGCTTTTGGCATTTTTGCCCATGGGTTCTGTAATCCTTCTGGATCATGTAAACTGATAACTAGATCTTTGCACAACATCATTTGGATCCATGTTGAATCCAGTCTTTCTCACATACCTCTTCTCTGTCCAAGCTCATCTTGGTATTCTAAGAGTATAAGAATTAATATAAAATTAGGAAGGCAAGTTCTCTGCTACTTTTTTCCTAGTGCAGGTATTTATGTACTAGTATGTAGAAATGACAAAATTTGATTAGTTGTCATTCATACCTTCCTGGTATGGGTGAAAATGTTTACCTTGTGGCAAAAAACACAACAGGACAAAAACCTTCTGACATAAAGAAATGTGTACCTTTGCTTCATTCCTAATTTGCCAGTGGAGGTTTTTTCCCCATCAAAGATGAGTGAATTATTAAATGCTGTTTCCACACATACCAACCTTTTCCCGCACAGCTTTGGCTTGCTGGTAGACCTCCTCTCGGTTTCCTACGTCGCAAATGAAGTAATGGCACTCGGTCCCCATCATCTTGATTTCCTCTGCGGTCTCCTTCAGGCATTTCTCAGTTCGACCCCACAGGATGATCTGCAGCAAGAAACTTTTGTTAAGGTCAAACTCTGCTTTGAATCTAAAATAATTAAAACATGCTTCTAATTCAAACAATTTGAAGAATATCTTTAATGTGCTTTCACTGCCAGCTCTCTTGCCCTTTTTCATTTAAGACTAACAATGATTTCTGAACCATGATTATAAATGATGTATAGGAGATGGGATTCTTCTCTTTACAGGCCTGTGCTTTACAAACAAATCATAGTGAAATCAAAAAATCCTACTTGAGGTATTTCATAAGCTTTGAGAAAATATTTGCAAAATACTGCTCAACTGCAAGCACACACACATTTCACAACTTACAGCTATGTGGAAAGGGGAGGAAAAAAAATCACCACAACTGCCAATGTAAGCATCAAGCTTGATGCCCACAGAGTCATGAGCTTGTGTCAACGTGGACTTGAGCCTCTCAGTAGGGTTGGATGAGTCAAGTGCAAATGCTGAAAAAATAACTGACAAATTGGATAGTGATGGGATACAGAGAAAGAGGAGAGAAAGAGAAATAAGGCATCAGATGGGCTGAGTAATTAAGGCAAGAAATAAACCTCATGTGCCTAGCACTCCATGGCTTCATGCTGCTATTGCAAAATAAAAAGACGAGCCCTCAGTCGTCCCTTTCAGCTGTTTCAAACACCCATATGGCCTCCTGTTCTCGCGGGTTGTCATTGGTGCAATGAATTGTCAGGCAATGCGTATGGAAGGACAGTTAAGCAACAGATGACCTCTTGACATTACATCCGCATGTGATGCAACTCTTGGACATAATTTTTTTTATGACCCGACACTTCATGATCTTTAATATCCTACAGATAATCTTGCAAGATGACCCCATTAAAAGCTAGGCCATTCAGGGTAGAGAGAATTTGCTGATTATCCCTCTAACAGCATGAACTTTAGTGATGATTTTTTCCATTAGAAGTTTTCAAGTCCCTAATGCCATTCACAGTCAGGTGAAGGCTTCAGCCTGCGTAAGAGAAAAGCAGTAAATAAAAGACCATTCGTTTGTGCGAGGTGAGAGTTCCCTAACAGCACAGTGGGAAGTCAGATTTCCTGCTGTCATTTTTGCTACTTTTTACAGATGGATAAACTCAAAATTCAATACACCACATTTCTGGTCCAAATTCAAGCCTGAATGCTCCTGTAAGATCATCTGAGGCTTCAATTTCTCTCTCACATCTAGCCAAGACTTTAAACTGGCACAGACTTTTCTCTGGCCTCCCAAAATATCAAATCTTTAAAAAGGATGAAACTTCTACTTGCTGCTTTAGACTCACATTTGAGTGCTCCTCAGCAGAAGGCTTTCGTTTGCATTACTGCGTAGGCAATAATTCCCTCTTTTCTTCTTGCTTGCAGTGGTTTCATCACTGTTTTTCTAGGTCCTTATTCTACTCTATTGCCTCCTGAGGAGACTGCCTACCAACCAACTTGTAAGTCCTCAACTCTCTGAAATCCACTGGCTGCAGAATCCGCAATTTGGTCCTTCGCTGTTGGGCACTCCTGAGGTTGTATTCACCAAAGCAGATACAGGGCAGAACCTGAGAGTTTAAGCATCAGTGATAAACGTGCAGGCTCTGAATGCTCCTGAACTAAAGGTTTGCTTGCAGTTGAACAGATGAAGGACTGCGGGGCTGAGCCTGGGTCCTTCTGATGCCCCATGAGCTCCAGCCTGAAGTGGAGCAGTTGGTACTTCTCTTTACATGCAAGGACTTCAGTAACTCTCACATCACCCTTTGCTTAGTCAATACCAAGAAAAGCATCTCCCAGCAGCTTCATCCTGCCCTGGTTAGGATTTGAGTGCTCTGCTTTGTAAGCAGTCTAGAGCTGGAGCTTAGGAAATGCTCCCTTTTATTAGGAGGCAGCATTTTCAGTGTATAGACATGAGTCCAAGAGTCTCATCTGTGTTCCCGCTCCCTTTTAATTCTGAATTGGCAGTAACTATATCCCAACTGGAGACTTAGGTCCTGGAGAAAAGGACTTTCAGTCACATAAATTCCTGTCTGAGACAGGGAGAAATGCAGAGGACGGAAAGAGAGCAGAAATGCTGTAGATTGTCCCACAGCTTCCAGGAGGCTGCGCAGCCACCCGCTCCCTGTTATGCAACGGCGGAGGGAAGAATATTTAATCTGTGTCTTGGAGAAGTTCTTGGACAGACAGTTTTCCGCTCTGGAGAGGCTTTCATCTCCCCTTCATCTCGTCATCCTCTCCCTACCGCACTAGACACGCTCTCCTTTCACAAAGTTACTGACCAGAAAATTGCCGAGGGCAGCAGCCCAGCGAGGCGGCTAATCCCCGCTGCTGCGGGCCCTGCGCTTACCTCGCGCTGACCCCGGCGGCCGCCCGCGCAGGTGGAAAGTTAAAGCAATCGCCCGCGCCGCAGCGAGCGGGGAAGGAGCCACCCGGCCACGGCACCCGCTGATGGATTTACCGTGACAGGGGAGCTCGGTGTGTTTCCCCTGCTTAATTAGCTTCCAAGTAGCTAATGGCGGGGTTGTCAGGGTTCAGGGCAGATTTTCTCGGGATTTATTCGTGAACAGGTTTTGCAAAACAAACCTTATCTCTCCACCCGCCAGCAAGTCATGGAGCGCCTTATCTGGCCTTAGGAAAATTGCTGCGGCTGGAGCGGCAGGCTCGGCAGGCGCCACATCCTCCGCTCCCCGAGGACTTGTTTAACTCTGGACTTTAATCTGATAATGAGACATGCCCCGAGGTCGAAGGGGAGCCAAAAGGAAGGTTTCTCTGCTGCTGGCCTAAGGCAAGACCTGCTAACAGAGGCCTGTGCTGGCTACTTGCCAGGAGCCCCAAACTTGAGCAGTTTTGAATCCTGCCTTTTTCCCGCAACGCAAATTGGGCAGAGTTATGCTGCTGAGAGACACAGAATCAGATAAGGCTGCTAATTTATACGAACTTGTCCAGACTGACGCTACTATCACCCTGAACACACACGCATGATCTGCACACCAGAGCCCTCCGTACAATGCTGGCGAAAGAGATAAGGTTAGAATTGATTTTACATCATTTACTAGGCTATTTAGCTGCTTGGTCTGATTTTATTGCTAACACAAGTCAAGAAAAACAGCAAAGGAATGTTACCCTTTTGTATCACCAATTAATTTGGCACTGGATCTTCAGCAAACCTGCTGTGCTAACCTCTGCCCCTCCAAAGAACAAGACCAGCACTAGAAGGAGCCCACAGCAAAAGTGTCTGTTTTGGGGACAGAACACGAACCATTCCTTCACGCTTCCCTGGGATTAGCTCGGTTGTATTTTAGTAGAGTGTTGCTCACGCCTCATCTTTTCCAACGCAACAGCACAGTGTGTGCATAACCCAGTGCCTTATCCCAGGACACCAACACCGGCTACTGGCACCTCACAGGTGGTCCCCCAAAGACATTCCAGGGTGCCCCACAACCCCCGACAGTTTCATCTATTGTGAAAACAGGAGGCTAAACCCTACAGCTTCAAAACCCTTCCCGTATTTTGTGGTCAATGGCATAAAGATTTTTCTCCTCCACCCTTTCCCCTCTCTTGCCCTCAGGGTGAAGTCAGGCAAGTTGCTGCTTGGCCTCTCCAGGGGAAGGCACCGAAGACTAAGGATTATGGGAGCGGGAAAGGTGCGGCTGCTCCCTGCGGAAAAGCTTTGGAGAAGGGAAAAGAACCTTTTGATGCCTGTAGTAGGTCAAAATACTTAACCCAGCCCCTTAGTGACACTTGTGTAAAAGTAAGCAAACAAAGCAAGCGCCGGAAAAAAATTATCAATTCCCACAGCAGAAAGTGAATATCAAAGCTGCAAGGGACTGGTATAACTGCAGATAAGCATGGGGGACTCGAGAGAGTAAGCCCATTTGCCTGGTTTACTCACAAGCTTCTCTAAATCAGCATTTAGAGGTTGTAAAAGTATTTCACTATAAGAGTTTAATTTAAAATTGAATGCTGCCAGCATGCTGAGCACAAGACTCAGTCCTTATTGTGCACTGCCTTGAGTGAAAGCCAGCGTAATAGACAGCAATGAGGATAAAAGGTCTAAAGAGACGTTGTAAGGACAGTAAAGGAGTGAATACAATTCCTTTGGTCTGGAGGCAGAACTTTTAAGTGCATTACTTTATCTTTTAACTTAGCACTCAATGAGATTAGCATTATCCAGCTAAACAAAGCCTCTTTCAACGGTACCCCAGCCACCCCCTTTCCTTCTCTGCGGGAACGGGAACAGCACCTAAAAATCCATGGGAAAGCATGTGAACACCTGCCTGCTGCTCAAGGCAGCTTTCCTTGCAGAGAACCTTTACATTTCTGTCTGCACGCAGCCATTTAGGAGCAGCAGTGAACAAACGGCCACTGTTCTCACACCCAGGACTACTTAAGGACAGGTGCCCTCCCGCTGCCTTTTTTTTCCATTTCTTTTTCTCCATTGCTTTCGTCTGCAGCATGAAATGCGGCTCCAGGCTGCGCTGGGAGCAGCAGTTTGCAGCTCCGCGGTGCAGAGCGGCACAGGAAGGGTGAGGGTTGTTTGCAAGAGGAGGTCATGCAGGAGTCAGCCTTTACAATCCTATTAACGCTGCGACAGGGTCAAACCGAGTGCACGTTCCTGCAAAAGCGCCAAGTGGCCACGGGCTGTCACCCGGCAAAGGCTGAGGGAGGCGGTTGTGGGGGAAAAAACGACAGATTTTTTTTTTAAATGGTAAATGTCTAACACACCATGTGTTAGAACTCGCCTCTGCTCCAGAGAATCAAAGTGCATGGGGAAATATCCAGCAAAGAAAGTCATAGGTTGCAAAGCTGGTAGAAGTGGCAGCACGAGGCTGGGGATGAGAAGAGGGGGCTCTTTTTATTGAAGTTAAAACATTTCATGTAAGATTTTGAAGACGTTTACCAAGGGAAATACAATACTCCATTCTGTAGAAACAGCTAGAGTGCTGCCACTTTTGGCATGCCATCCCTATAACCCAGATTCCTGCAAAAATGTCCATGGAGATCTCAGGAAATTATAGGGAGCGTAAATAACACAGGTGCCAAAAGTCTTTTTGTACCCCAAGGACAGCAGACAGGATAAAAGGATAGAAAGTCAATAAATAACATTTTAAAAGAGAATTTGCTGGATCTGCTTGATGAAAAGGACAAGGTCCAACATGTAATATTGCAACATAACCAAAAGTTTGCTATTTGCTCTTTTTTTTCGTTCTTCCAAAATGCTGCATATGTTTGTGTTGCACAAAACCAATCAGAGAAGAGTTCTTAACATGTGCAAGTAATAGAGTTAAACATTTACTATGATACCACAAAGCTAAGACACCAAAAACTAGGAGTGTTTTTGTAAAGCTAAAAGCAGTAAGAAGTTGAGATTACAGGAATTTAATAGGGGATACCTAAAATCAAAAACATGATCACAATTCACTGCAGGGCTGCGTCTGTCACCTTGTGAAGGCAGAGTGACTCCTGAAATTGCTTGATTCAATTATAGGGGATACCTAAAATCAAAAACATGGTCACAATTCACTGCAGGGCTGTGTCTGTCACCTTGTGAAGGCAGCGTGACTCCTGAAATTGCTTGATTCAATGAAAACTGAAGAGTCTGTTGCCTCTGAACTTTACCTATTTAGATGGGAGGCAGGGGGGATATATAAAACTTCACTACAGTCTCTGTAACCACAGTCCTTGGAGCAATGTGAGGGAAGAAGAACTGGGGGAGTATTTAACGTTGCTAAATTGGCAGAACGGCTTGCAACAAAATCAAACACACCAGCCTAAGGATGAGCAAGGTTTCTAAAGCTGGCATTAGTCATCGCCTTCCAGAAGGGCCCAGGAGATGCTCAGGATCATGCACATGCATCTGCATGTTTGCGATGCAACCCTTTAGTGAAGAGGAGTCTGCAGGGAAGCTAAATGGAGAAGCATTAGCTTTAAAAGAGTCAGCATTAAATCCATAGATAAACTGAATGCTATCAACAGTTTCAGACAAGCTCTTGTATAAGCCTTTTCTCTTCTAAAAAAGAAAATTACTACCATTTAAAAATCATCTAAAGGCTGTCAAAATGAGTTATCCCTACAAGTATTTTATTCAAAGAAAACAAGGGCTGCTACTTGAGAAGAAACCTTTAATATTTGCTTACTTTTCCAGCTTTTTATGCCCTTTTTTTTTTTTTTAATGGTGATTGTTGCTATGCAATTTGGCAGAATTTCTGAGCATTATTATCTGGCGTCTACTTAAAAAAAATGCGAGAAACAGCACAGCTCTAGCTGACCCAAGCCAACTCCAACCAGGTTCGACTGCAATTATATTTATTTAAAATAAAGAGGCTGGCCAGGCTACTGCAAAACCATCTCTGGCACATTAAGCAGTTACTGCTCTTGAGAAGTCCCAGCCTTCAGATGGAGTGGCTGATCACATGCATGCTCTTTAGGCCACTGCAAAACGAAAACACAAAATGAAATTAATTCACTTTGGTGTAAAGATAAAACCAACTAAACTATCACAGAACACAAGTGTTAGTTCCCAGTAGAATAAATTAGATAATCTTCTTTGCAAGAGTCCATGGAAGCCCTAAATCTTGATACAAATAACCTAATTGTGTCTAAACCTTGTGAATCAAAACCAAACCAGAAGCGAGCAGTAAACAAGTGCAATGATGTCATTAGGAGCTGGCTGACCCACTGCTGAAGCTCAGGCTCTAATTTCAGATCATTGCACACACACACGTCTGATGGTATAAAAGGTGTCACACACCAAGCGGCAACTGCTACACGTCACCTAAGGAAATGAAACCCTTAAAAACCCCTTTGATGGCCAAGTGTTTCAAAGAGGCAAAGTTCATGCTTCCATAAAACAGAACTTAAAAACAGGACACAAAAATCTCTAAGATGCCTGGATTAAAATCAAATAGCAATCAACACAAAGAACACTCTGCAGTACTGCGAGATCAGCGTACCGCAAAAGCCCAAGTGAAGCAACTCAGTTCAGTGAGACCAGACTCCTGGTTTCCCAAGGGTCTTGGAAATGTTCTTGCATCATTTCTGACAGCTCACTGTAGTAAGAGCCAGCCCTGCTCTATTATCGCTTTGGGAAAGTATCTGTACCAGCTGCATGGCTTTTATATTGCGTTTGGAAGCACCGCTTCTTCACTTGCAAACAGTAAGCTGAAATTTGTCCTCTTTTTGTACTTTCTGTAGGAGGCAGGGCACAGAGAATTCAGTTTGCAGTCAGATAATTCCAAGTTGCTAAACCAAATCTTATTATATCCCATTCCCTCTGCAGAACATAAGATGGATAAATGCGTCCCAGGGAATGTTCTGTTCAGAGATGGGCTGTCTGTTTACTATTAGCAAGGAGATTAAAATGACAGATCCAAGACAAACACTAACATAATCTCCAAGGAGAAGAGATCTAATTGTCTGCTGTTCCTGTCAATCTCTTCTTTTTAAGGGCCAGGAAAGGTGAAATCTCTTAACAACAGGATTTTCCACTCCCATAAATTTATTCCAAGTCTTGTAATATTTGAGGTGCTTTTTAAAGTCCGTCATCCACAGTCAAACGAGTAGCCAAAAATTGCTGCTTTTGTTTGAAGTGCTGCAAGTTTGTCCACTCCTCAAACGTGCAGAAAATCTTGAAAACTTCACTTGGTTGTACCCAGAGTCACATACAAAGCAAATAAGTAAATAGGATTGGGTTTTCCCTTTAAAACCTCATGCTTCTTTTTGAGTAGTAATTCAACAGCAATAGCAATGGAGGAGACATTTGCTGTACAGCAAAGCTCATTTAAAAAAAAAAATCTGAAATAAGGTTTTGTCAGTGTCTGAAGGTTTCACTGATACAAATGCTCAGCATACACAGAAATGAAACACACACTAGTTGTTTCAGTCCAGGACTTAATGGAAAGGAAAACATATGTAAGAGACAAGCACTACCTATCAGTACAACTAGTGCAAGCTGATGCCTACACTGACTGAGGGGTCAAACACTGACTGCAGCAATGACACGTTTGCTTGGGCAATGTTGGACAGAAATCCCTATGCTAAACAAAACAAGTGATGAATACAAGCAACGTATTCAATAAATTGTAATTGATAATGTGTCAACATAAGGGTGGCTGTCTGCAAAATCCTTTCTTAATTATGCATAATTTGGATTGTGCACAATCTTGGATTCTTTCTAGGCCTTTCAGTCAAATACTTCAAAATAGAAGGTCACTCAAAGCAAATTCTGGTGTCAGACTAATTAGGCATTAGATCAATAGCATCTTTAACTCTTTTTCATGATTCATACTGATCAAATTTTAAAATGTTTTTATAACGCAGTAAAAACTATCTATATATGTTAATGCTTCAGATGAAAATAGTTCTACAGTTCCCAGTCAACTTTTTTCCAAGCCTGTACCAGACAGGTGACGTAAGTGCAGGAGAAACCCAGTGGATTTACAAGTCATGGGAGGCGCTGGAACCACGCAAATAAAATAGGGATGACTGAATCCCTTCAAATAAGGTGAAAAACACAGATCAAAGCATCTTCTTGTCAATGCAAAATGCTTGTAACAAACAACAGGCAAGCTCTCAATGAGAAACTGAAACAGCCACGGGGAGGGCATTATTTCAGAGGCATCAAGAGAGCAGATATCTACTAATTCTGGTAGTATTTGCCAACCAGAGACACTTATTCAGCAAGTTATTCAGGCTGCTGGCTTTGGCACCAGCGCACATAGCAGGCTAGATGCCATCTGGGCCTGGGACTGGACACAAGGGATCTTCTTCCCATCCTTAAACTCCATCAACAAGAGTTATTTTACATGACATGGGAAAATGTTCACTCCCCAACTTCTCACATAATTCTGGTCACTGGCAAGTTAAGACATAGTCTAGTAATTCATTGTAAGATTAAGTGCATTTACCACCATTAAAAATACCTCCCAAACTGTTCAGCTCATTTTTCTTTCAACTGATTGTTCCACCACCATAGGAGTGATTAACAGCCTGACATCTGCAAGATGGGCAAGTTTTCTCATTGTACTAAAATATCTAAATCATCTGATACCATGGATGGTTAGAATTTAATATCACAAGAAATAATCTCTTCGATACAGTATTTCCTTTTAGGTTATTGTATCTATTGCACTGAGACATGTCAAGTTATCTTTTCAAGACAGCTAGTTACACTTATTTGGATTGATAAACTACTACAGATAAATGCATTAGACATATGGACTATCTGTCATTCTGGCATCTCCACAGGGCATAAAAAGGATTCAGTATGTGGACAGACACTCTGTACTAATATGTAAATTCTACCCTTTTTTCCAAAGTATTGTACACCAGTCCAACTAAGCATCTATTTGTACAGTACTGCATCTGCATTGGGTATGGTATACCAATTCTTTTAAAAACCATCATCTAAAAGGATTTATGATTTCATTATGTTAGATCA